CTGTCTCACTGTTAATTTTCAGAACAAAAATCTTTTCTTCTCTAAATTCAGTTGTGCCTTCTGTAATTCAAGCCCTGTTGAATTTCAAGCTGTACTAACACGGACTTCTTAAATAGAAGAGAAGGATAGGAAAGCAGGTGAGGAGAGAGAGTTCAGAATAGCCCTTTTAGTGAGAAAAATAGAAAGCACGGAAATCTCAGGTTCTGGCTAGTACATTGGGAATGATACGGGAAAATCAAGGGATTCCAATCCTATACAATTGGATTACTCTCAGGTAACTGAAACGCACCTAAAATAGGAAAAAGAAAAAAAAAAAAAAAGGCAGGGAAAATAATTCATGGAAACCTAAAAAGTGACTCTAACATCAGTTTAAGCTTAGGAAGATTTGAAAGAAAAAAAAAAGTTTGCATGTATGTGTTGAGCCACAGTGTAACCAAAAAATAATGCCTGGCTTTATTAGGTACACATAACATTTCTTAGAGCCATATACAGGAATGTTCATCAGGCAGCCTCAAGTAACTTAATCTGGTGACAGTCTGATACAAATTCATATGACTATTTTTTTCTAAAATGTTTTCTAAAAGTGTTGACTAAATCTTCCCTAACTCTTCTGTTGGGATTGCATAATAGTTACTATGTAAGGCTGTCAGTTTCCAAGGTAAATGGTTCTTACTTTCTGAGAAGTGATAGTTATAATTTCAGCCTTAAGGAAGGGGAAAAAAAAGAAACAAAATTCTAAGAAAGGGGAGATGGGAAAAGCAAAATAGATTCCTCATCAACAGAAGACACAATAGGCTGGGCGCAGTGGCTCATGCCTGTAATCCCAGCACTTTGGGAGGCCAAGGCGGACGGATCACGAGGTCAGGAAATTGAGACCATCCTGGCTAACACGGTGAAACCCCGTCTCTACTAAAAATACAAACAATTAGCCGGGCATGGTGGCGGGCGCCTGCAGTCCCAGCTACTCGGGAGGCTGAGGCAGGAGAATGGCGTGAACCCAGGAGGCGGAGCTTGCAGTGAGCCGAGATCGGGCCCCTGCGCTCCAGCCTGGGTGGCAGAGCGAGACTCCACCTCAAAAAAAAAAAAAAAAAAAAAATTGAGCTTTAGAGTCTATTAGGATATTCCACATTTCAGTTCAGTATTTCTTCACTTGGATTTGTGATATTCTGATAGCTTTGCAGGAGAAAATAACCAAGGTAGGAGAGGGGGGAATTTTCATCCCTTAAAATATAATAGAAAAGCATCGCCACTGTAACAACCTATGAAAGTATAATTCTTTGGTATTTAACAAAATGAAGAGTCTGAGTGGATTTGCCCAGACATTCAGGTAGATTCTCCACTGTGAAGTCTCTGATGTCTAATGAGGGGGCTGAACTACACCTGAAAGCTCTGCCACATTTATGTGACAGAACTCATACTGGAGAAAAACCCTACAAGTGTAAAGAACGTGGTCAAGCCTTCGGTCAGAGCTCAACTCTTACAAAACATACAAAAGTCCACACTGGAGAGAAACCCTACACCTGTAAAGACTGTGGGAAAGCCTTCAGCCAGAGCTCATCTCTTACCCAGCATCAGAGGGTTCATACTGGAGAGAAACCGTTTGATGGTCAGGAGTGTGGGAAAGCCTTCAGTAGAACTGCCCGTCTTACCCAACATCAGAGGATCCACACTGGAGAGAAGCCCTGTGTATATATATACACATATGTACATACACATACGTATATACATACATACATACATATTATGTTTATAATAGAATATAAATTATAAAATTATATAATTGTATCTTCTGTTGATGAGGAATCTATTTTGCTTTTTCCATCTCCCCTTTCTTAGAATTTTCTTTTTTCCCCCCTTCCTTAAGGCTGAAATTATAACTATAGTTTTAGTATATATACACATATATATTTGCATATATACTATAAAATATATGTACTATATACTATATACATATATTTGTTTGTTTATTTATTTTTTTGCAGATACTTGAATGTTTGTGTTCATTAGGGCTCCAGGCTCTCTTGTAACTCTTTTTGTGCTCTTTGGGTGATATTATCCACTCCCATGGCTTCAATTACCATCCATTCTCGGGCAACTCCCAACTCTGTATCACCAGTTAAGATCTCTTTCCTTTACTAAGATACATTTGGCATGTCCTCCTCATATTCATCTAGCCTCCAGACATCACCACTTAGAGCAGGTTTTCTCAACTGCAGCACTATTGACATTTTAGACGGACATGTCTTTGTGTGGGGCCCTGTCCTGTGCATTGTAGGATGTTTAGCAGCATCCCTGGACTCTACCCATGAGATGCCCATAGCACACTTCAGACATGGCCAAATGTCCCCTGGGGCGCAAACTTGTCCCTGGCTAAGAACCACTGGTTTAGACTTATTACAGACACTTCAAACAACTTAAGATACACTGAACTCATCTTCCACCTGCTAAATTTGCTACTTCTCCTGTGTTCTCCATCTCAGGGAAGAGAACTTCCATTCACTTACACATCCAAACCAGAAACCTGAGAATTTTCTTTGTCTGTTACTCCCTCACCTCTCAAATCTATACAACAAATTATGTCAATTTTATAACCTTAAAATTATTCAAATTATTTCCTTCTCTTCGTATTTCTTAGACAGCAGAAAACTAGGTAGGATGAAGACATAGTAAATGAAGAAGTGATTCCAGTTACTAAAGAGGAAAGGGGAATAGCCCCATAAAATGCCTCAGGATGAGGCACAAAAGTGATCTCCGGATTATGTGTTGGTGTTATAACTTTAAGGAGGAAGTAACTCTTCCTTGAGTCTGGGAAGAAACAGAGGGGTAAGCTATTACGATTCTGATGTGGTCAAGTGAAGATGAGACTGCAGGGGGATTCAACATCTTCTACAGGCCTGGAGGATTTGGGAAGAACCCCTAACTCTTATTTCTAAAGATGCAATCTGCCTTGTTCTCACTTGCCTGTACAGCTGCTTCTTGGCACCTCTCCCTCCTGCATATGCGTTCGTGGGTTTACCACTTCTTCCAACTGGGAGATGATAGCAGGTTTGGAAAATGGACATCCTACTAAGAGACACAAACAGAATGTAATTTTAAGTTCAAAAGAGAAAGGACCACCCTATTCTCAGTCCCGCTCTGTTGCATTTTAGAGAGGAGAAAATGAAATAACTAATTGTCAAAAGCAATTAAATAATTTCTACCCAAGTAGGGTGAGAAACAGTTTAAGGATCTGATCTGGATTCTGTGGGGGGAAATAACCAAAGCCTCATTTGTTATCAACCCCTAATAGAAGCAAGGGAATCTTTAGAAGGCAAAGGTATCCTGAAAGGTCAATCTGGGGTGGAAGGACCCAAGCTTACCCAAGGAGACCAGGTTCCTATAGTTCTCCAGCATTATATCTCTGTACAAGACTCTCTGAGCAGGCTCCAGTTCTCTCCATTCTTCCTCAGTGAAATTCACAGCCACATCCTTGAATGACACAAAGCCCTGAAACACCTGCATGAGGTTCTGAAGAAAAAGTTAAATGAGGGCTAATTAGGGCAGACTAATGGGATGGAGAGGAAATAGATTAAACTATGTTCACAGTGTCAAAGACAAGATTTTATTGACTCGTATATTAAAGAATCTTAAAATCTTAAAATGCGTATACCCCTTTGACATAATTTGATAGTTTTATTTTACAGTAATTTTATACATAGAACTCAATTACAAGAAAACTATTGGCGGGGTGCAGTGGCTCATGCCTGTAATTCCAGCACTTTGGGAAGCCAAGGCGGGCAAATCACAAGGTCAGGAGATCAAGACCATCCTGGCTAACACAGTGAAACCCCATCTTTACTAAAAATACCAAAAAAATTAGGCAGGCATGGTGGCGGGCACCTGTAGTCCCAGCTACTCGGGAGGCTGAGGCAGGAGAAGGGCGTGAACCCGGAAGGCGGAGCTTGCAGTGAGCTGAGATCGCGCCACTGCACTCCAGCCTGGGCAACAGAGCGAAACTCTGTCTCAAAAAAAAAATAGAAATAGGCCAAACTTAAGAATCATATCTAGGAAAGAACTTTGAGTATAAGAAGCCTTTAATTTTTTGTGGAACAACATCTCCGTGATTTCAATGTACTGACTTTTTTCCTGTGCCAGAGGAATCAGTATCTTGCTTTGATTCTAAGTCATTTATGTCACTAACTTTCTATAAACCCTTCAAGATTCTACTCAGCCTTCAGGGCCCACATCAAATCTTACTACTTTCATTAGCCTAGGAGCTGCTTAAAAGAACTTTAAAATGCTAGTTAAATAAATAAAACCTTCCTAAATCTCTCTCAGCCAGACACATTTGCTCCTGCTCCTCCAAGTCCAAAAAGCATTTTCCCTAAGACACTTTATTACTGAATAGGCCCTTAATAATAAGGTCCTTAAGAATAATAAATCTGTTGGTTTGTGCCACATAGATTTGTGTACATCTTTTCTCCCCAAAATATTCTAAACAGATGGAAGAAAGAAATGCCTCACGTGCCTTCGCATATCTACGCCAAATGTCTCAAGTGAACAAAAAGAAGCTTGATTCTCACCCAACCATGTTCTAGGAGTCATGCTCCTCAATTATCTGCTAAAGAGGCCTCATTCCCACCCCGCCGCCCCCATCCTTTCTCTACACTGCCAACTGATGGGCGAGGCTACCAAGCCGCCTGACCTTCACTGCTGCTGCCATACAACTGAGGAACACTCGAACGCCATCTCGTTGGCAGTCCATCCCACCCACTGGATCCTTTCCTTTCAAACTGCTGTGGCTAATGCGGTTGACAAGCTTCATGCTAAGAGAAAGAAATTTGCTTCAGGAATTTAAGATTTCCAAGAAGAGAGGAAAATCCCCAACTCAATTAAAATAAGATTTCCGAGAAGAGAGGAAAATCCCCAACTCAATTAAAATAAGATTTCCGAGAAGAGAGGAAAATCCCTAACTCAATTAAAATAAGATTTCCGAGAAGAGAGGAAAATCCCCAACTCACCTGGGACTCTGCTGTCCGGCAAAGAGCAGCCATATTTTCCTTCTCAAGACACCTCTTTTGGGAAACAGCAGGGTCCTCAGAAGGCAGAACTGGGAGGAAACCGACATAAAGGAATCTGGTTTATCTTCACATATCTCAAACCTGTGAGTTTAGAAACAGCCACTTATGACAAAATGTGCCTCTGACCTTGGCTGTCCATAGCTTGAAGGATTTTACAGACATCTATATAATGAGACTTCAAAGATAATCTCAGAGGATAGAAGGAACGTAAACTTAGGGAAAGGTACGACCATTAACTGGGTTCAGGATCTGCATGAGCCACTGCTCTGAAAACAAGGTTCCTTGGGACCAAAAAACCCTAAAACAAGAAGTGTAATGTTACAGTTGGTGAGGTGCTTAAAGACCTCCAGGCTCAACTCCTTTATTCTCAAATGGAGAAAGTGACCAATTTTATAGAACAAGAAAAAGGGAATCACAGCAGCAAAAGGCAGCAGTGCCCACTCCAGCAGTCATGGTCACAGACACCTTCAGCCACCCCATCGTGAGTATTCCAGGCCCACGGTGAGTCTGTGGCCATCTTAGGTCTGTTCCACCACACACGCTCCACTAAATTGCATGTGTCATATCATTCACCCCTGCGTCCTAAACACCAAGCACAGTGTACTTGGCAGACAGTAGTCCCTAAGTATTGTGAACGAATTAATGAATGAGCCCCAAATTCCCTCGGTCTGATTCTATGCCCAACAAGCAACCTTCCGCTCATAATTTACTTCTCCATTTTGATTTTTTGCCTGTAGGGAGAAAACTGCTGATCATATTACCTTTGAGCACTTCTTTGAGCTTATCTCTAGGTAGTAGGGTTACATGCTATTTATCTTATTCTACATATCAATCTATATTTTCCTAATATTTTACAGTTTATTATTTCTTTGATCCTCTCTCCACCCACCTCCAAAAAGCAGTACTTAAAGCTCCTTGTGGATGTGTTTGGGGGAAGAAGTAGTTCTTTCTAGGCCTCAGTTATTATCAAGTACAGGGTTTCACAATTTTGTAGAATTCATGCCTCCTGTAATCCTTTGTCATTGGAACTCTGGCTCCGGAGTCTGCCTGCCTGCTGCCTTAACATCCTGGCTCTGTATAACCATAGCCAAGTTTCTTCTGGGCTTCCATTTCCTAATTTTAAAAAAGAGAATAATGGCCAGGCACAGGGGCTCATGCCTGTAATCCCAGCACTTTGGGAGGCCGAGACGGGCAGATCACAAGGTCAGGAGATCAACACCATCCTGGCTAACACGGTGAAACCCCGTCTCTACTAAAAATTAAAAAAAAATTAGCCAGGCGTGGTGGTGGGCGCCTGTAGTCCCAGCTACTCGGGAGGCTGAGGTAGGAGAATGGCGTGAACCTTGGAGGCGGAGGTTGCAGTGAGCCAAGATTGCACCACCCTGGACAACGGAGTGAGACACAGTCTCAAAAAATGTAATAATAATGGTACCTACCCTGCTACAATGTGCGTTAATGCACATAAATGGCCCAAACCAGTACCTGGTACAGAATAAGCACTCAGGAAAGGTCATTTAATCATCAGTTAATTATTACTCTCAATATTTTCTGCATATCAACATTAACCAAGACTTTATGGCACTTTCTTTCTATACTTTGTTTTACAAGGAAAAAAGGTGCAATCGATATGTTTGGTCCTACTCCCAAATCCAACTTCCCCACAAGATGCCTGTGCCCTCCCTGTACTGGACACTGGCAATCAGTGGGAGCTAAGGTAGAGTTAGGAACTCCTAAGTTCCAGGACTTCCAGAAATCAGAGGGCCTGAGGGCAGGATATTGTAGGAGAGCCAAACAGACTAGAGATAGACTATGGAAGTCCCTTCTAATCTGGGACATCCCTTTGTATCTCCTTAAGAGAAAGCACTTTTTGAGAGCAAACTGAAAGAGAGCCAAGGAGCAGTCCCTAATTCTGCCAGAAATGAGCAGCAGGGCCATGGACCCTGGGGACGCAGGCCCCAGCTCTACCCCTGAGCTCACAGAAGGTTCAAGGGACTAGGGCTCTCCCATGTGCTGTAATGCCAAATCAAGTCATCAGCCTCTCCATACCTATTTCTTTCTCCTCTTCCAAGGAGTCTGACTTATCCCCCCTCATCCTTCAGAGAGGCAGGTGGCATAATGGAAAGAGTATGGAAGTAAGGTATCTTGTTTTTTCAGAGTTTCAAATTAAAAGGGAATGATATTAGTAAAATCACTACCATTCTTCGCACACTCACCATGCACCAGGTGCTTTCCATAAATCACTATTTACAGATGAAGAAACTGTTAACTTGCCCAAGGTCTCTGTGCTGCCCACATACATTTTATAAGGTTTCTGTAAAGAAAAACTAAAATGAGGTTGTGTGTGCACACTGTAGATTCTCGGCTAATGGCAAGACCCTTTATTTCTGTTTCTTACCTCTGTTCTGGAGTTTGCAGGTCCAGTCCTCCATAATCATAGCCTTTGCTACACTATTTGGGTGTAGCAACCTTTCCGTTCTCCACATATCTTCCTGGGAATTGCCAGCATTCTCCCAGAAACTCTGGCAAGAGATTCTGGATTGAAGTTTTTTCCTTTTTCATTGTATTTCTTTTTTCATTCTCTGAGACTCTATTCAGAACACAGAGTCTGAAGCAGTATCTTTTGAGCCAAAGCTAAACTCAAGAACTTCAGCAGCCATTTAATCTTCAGGAAGCCCTAAACACAGGCAAGTCTCAGTACCTTTATACCACCAGGGCCCTGCAGAGTCAGACGCTGGGAACATAGACAGCTAGTTACAGACAGCAGTAAAGATACTGTGCCTGCTGAATACAAAAGTGCAGGGTGGTGGAAAGTGCCCTGCTGGGAGTGCCTGGATTCTAATTTCCACTATGTGCTAGTTGGCTGGGTGCCCTACAAGTTACTTTTCCTTCTTGGGTGTTTCCTTCTTATGAACAAATGGGGAGATGGATGCCTACTATTAATAAAAGCGACAACTGATTGATCCCTTACTTGGTGTCTGGCCCCGTGTCAACTGTTGCATGTCAAAATTCCATTTAATCCTCACAACCACCACTTAAAAGTAGGTAAAACAAACCTCAAATTACAGGTAAAGAACACGAGACACAGAGAGTAACCTGCTTACACTCACATCAGAGCATTTTCTCTGAAAATCTAGATAAACGAATCTCTGATATCCACCCCCTCCCACGTTCACACTGTCAGTCTATAAAACGGTTCCACCACACTGCAGGCTGCAGAGACATAAGAGACGCGTTGGTGCCTAACCTGGCCCGGGCACGGGAGCCTTGGACACGACCTGCCTCACCTTCCAGCCAAGTGCTCCAAGTTATGCGGGCCCTCATCCTGTTTCCGAGCAAACGACCCGGAGGTGTCTCAGATAGGAAACACACATACACCCCACTCCCCCACACACAAAACCCAAAGACACGCTCCAGGGGCAGAGGGGGCGCGTCAAGGTGGCCGAGTCCTAGCTCCAAGTAGAAGGAATCAGTCAGATCAGCGGGCCCAGGGAGAGGTCCAAAGGGGAGCAGCTGGGACCCAAGGCTGACAATCCACTGCTGAACACACACACCCTGTCCAGCGTCTGCTCCTCCTCGGTCCAGACACGGGGAGGGACTCTGCTAGGGAGGACAGGGAGGACAGACATTCGCCACGCGAACAACTCCTCCAGACAAAGGGGCCGGAAGCGGAAGTGCGCGCCGAGGCTCCTGGGAAATGTAGTCCGGAGCGGCCCGGGCGACAGAGCGAGATTCTCTCTCAAAAAAAACAAAAAACAAAAAACTAAACAATGTTAAAAGTGAAGTTACAGAGCAGAATTTTTTTTTCTTTGAGACGACTTCTAGCACTGTCGCCAGACTGGAGTGCAGTGGCGCGATCTCGGCTCACTGCAACCTCCGCCTCCCGGGTTCAAGCGATTCTCCTCAGACTCCCGAGTAGCTGGGATTACAGGCGCCCGCCACCATGCCCAGCTAATTTTTTTTTTTTGTATTTTTAGTAGAGATGGGGTTTCACCATATTGGCCAGGCTGGTCTCGAACTCCTGACCTCAGGTGATCCACTCATCTTGGCCTC